GGGGGCATAACGCAAATTCGAAATGGGGAATTGTTGCTAAATCGTTTTAATAGCTGACGTCTGCACGTGTGTCGTCATTGTGGAAATTCCCATTAAGTTAAAAATATAGGAGCCTACTGAAATTCCTTTCCTCGTCTTCGTCAATCATTGCGAAGGACTAGATCAAGATGTTTTCGGGAGCGAAATGCCTGCATAAAAATTAAATTAATCCCTGCTAAGTGCTAGCCTTCCATAATAATTTATTTGGGACCATCGTTCCCTCGGGAATTCCCCCAACAAAGAAAAAACTTCTATTCTTCAATGAGTCAGATTCACCCAAAGACGTAGGCTCTATAAATAGTCCTAGACATCTATGAAATTACCAATCAACTGTGGGCAAAACACTTGATATATTTTCATCTTCGCCTCGGTTTCATTTCTTCATAAATTAATGCATGCACCCGATTGTACCCCTTCACAATTTTTGGGCAATCTCACTATCAGTCACAAGCTTTAGTTACAAAATTTAAATTACAAATTTAGCTATAAAACTGGTCCAGTCAACCTGAAAAAGCTAAGGGAGACGTATTAAACTAGACCTAGCGCCGAATAAGCTCATGGGGCCTACGTGGCTGCAGTCACGGTCTGATTTTTCCCTCTACTTTTTACCAACCGAATCAAGTCATGTCACGATTATGACGTCGACTCCTGGTCACGAAAGGCTAGAGCTAGAAAGCCAAATTTGAAACCAAATATAAATCAATGATTTAAAAGATTGTGATCTTTGTTTGCTTCTTGGAAAATAAATTAGTGTTGTGTAACCTGCTAGCTGTTTGTGCATTCACATTTATACTTATATAAGACATTTCACCCACCGCAGGTTTAAAACATAACAGTTGCGGGGTTTTTTTTACAATAGGGACATGATATATGAAATGTTTTCTCTCTTATTTTGGTGGGTGTACTAATGAGATGAGAATAATAATGTTTATCGTTTGCTTAACGTATGAGTAGGCCTATGAAACCAGCCCCCCCCCCCCCAAAAAAAAAAGAATGGGGGAAACTTGGGTGGGCTAACCTCTTTTTCTTGTTCTTCATCTCACTCTGACTACCTTGTCAAACAAGTCAGCATTCACCCTTTGATAGATTATTTAATTTTTGTTTCTTCTATCATTAATAGTATAGGCCTTTTGCTATTTAATTTTTAAAAAGGTATACTGCATTTATTTTTAAAAATATTTGTTTCTTTTTTTAAACTTATAAACCTAACTCGTTAACCATGTTTAATATGTAACTAGAGCAATATGAAAACTGGGGTCGACTAAAATAAAGAGATATTCCTCGTTGTAGCGAAGGCTCGTGGGGCCAGTAAGAAACTATAATTCATTCACTTGGCATTATCCCGTTTCTGTAGTAAGCACTCTAAAGGAATTACAACTGAGCGATGTTAGTATTCTTTTAAAGTTCCTAAGAAATAGATTTCAGAATCTTGGCTAACCATAAGAACCAGAAAGGCCTCTTCTCGACGAACAAAATCTTCATTTTAGATTAAAGAGGAAAAAATTAATTACATGTATTTTTAATTGAAACATACAAACATTTCATTTAGTTTCCAATAGGAAATAATATATCATGGAACTTCAGGTTACATACAAGCATTACCTGTTCAAGATATTCCTTGACAAATTACAACATGAGAAACAGAACCTTTGCAGACATTGCCATGAATTAACTACGGATATTTTATATTCTTAGGGCTTACCTTCTCGGTTATTCTTGGTTGCCCTCAGTCTCCAGAATTTGTCCCAAGTAATGTACAAAGATTAAACACAATTTTATATTTTAAAAAAGCCAGCTGAAAGAAAAACAAACTTGAATCTTGCTCTTTTCCTCTAGTCCATTAACCGCTGTGAAAAACCGCCAAAACTTGATAATAGCCGCCCAACTGGCCTCTACTGATTCTATCGCCAGTGACTCGAACCTTTTATTTTTATCATTGGAAATCCTATAGTTTGTCTGTCAGTTGTTACTTTTCTTCGAAATCGAGATTCTTTGCTTGGTCGTAATTTCTACAGTAAGGGACCGTTCACATAATTATGACGTAAGCTCTGGGGGTGTCAGTGAAAAGTTGACAAAGCTGACAG